CACTTAGTTCTATTTGTATTACTAAAAAACATCAGATTACTCACTTGTCAAGATAATCAGTAGATTACTTGATTACCAAAATAATTGTTAGTTACGGCTCTAGATTAGTTAAAATATTTCAAAACACAACTACGTTGTTTTGTGGAGCTCAGCGTTTTGATTTTTGTGATTAAAAGACAAATATTTTGGCATTGAAAATTTCTTAAAATAGTATTAAAATATTGTCTTGTTCTAGTGAACCAAGTATCTGTATTTAGTCTCATCTCGTGAGCTAAGTGTGTTGTCACACCTCTAGTGTCGATAAGCATTGATATAGCTCATAATTTTCCAAGTGTATGATATAGCTTTGATTCTTCAGGTCAACCATATATTCATGAAAAAAAACCTGTTTGAATAAGGAAAGCAATAACTTTGCCATAGTATCCTTTCAAATGTTAAAGTTGCCACAGTCATTGCATGCTTTGCATGTGTTGCCCCATCCCCTCCCCGCCCCGCCCCCGGAAAAAAGTTCAGGCCCAGGATTTTTTTTTGCTTTAACCCCTAATTTGTAAAATATACTTTTTGTCTTGAGAAAAAAAAATCGAAAATGTTCTTGAAAATGCTGAGAACTCAGAAATGAGTTTAGGTTTCAAATGCAGCAGGGTTCCCGTGGGTTATTAAAAAGACTTTGAAGTCTGAAATTTGAAGCTACTAATTTAAAGGGTTAAAATGTATTAAATATGCATTTTTTTCCTGGTTGGCATGAAATTTTCAGATGAGGTCTTAAATCTGAAAAAATATAGCCATTTAGTGCAACTTCATGTTGTTACATCTTGTTTATATATGTGACATTTTGCACACTTTTGATTTGTTACAGAATGAATCCACATTTTGATTGAATCACTTTCAGTTCAGTGACCCATTTATTAAGGCAGTCACTTGCTTTGTTCCTGAACGAATCAGCCATTAGAATGAATCTGTGAAACAAATGACTCACTCAGCTCACTCATTAAGACACTTGCTGTGTCCCAGTTTGCTGACTTGAACTATGCTCTTAATGTACTATTTTTGTGAAAGAAGAATGCATACTTTTGAGTGTTTAACAGAATTGTAGGCAAGCTTTGGGACATGCTACAACATGCTACATCATCTTAACAGTGTCTTACTCTGTTGTTTTGCATGCATCCTGTCACCATTTAAACTGCGCTGTCAATCATCTTGTCACAGTTAACATCATCCTCATTTCATTTCATTTCCTGCCGTATTGGAGAGAAATAAAGTTGCACGTTGATCTGCCAGTCGTGTCTTTCATCCCAAGAATTCTCCTCAGGTGTTTACATAATGATGCTTTTAAAAGTTGTTGACCAAACGTATCTTTATATAAGTTTACAATGTTGTTGCAGATTAAATATAATGTTAAATAAACAGTTTTTCATTAGGTTAGAAATTGATTATGAATCACTCAATTCCATTTATCTGTTTGACCATTGGTCTGGAATATCCACCATGTTGGTAGTTTTTTAACACTTTCTGTTTGTGTTTGTGGTTCTAATTGAATCCTTGTCCAACATGCAATGTGTTGTGGGCAATATTTGCCATTATAGTTTGCAGGGATCTGGACTTCGAATTCCCATCAGAAATAGTAATACATCCAGGTACTTTTGGGATACTCATTTCAACATACTACATTTTGGGACACACTAATTCTAATTTCGAGTACTATTTAGGACAGATAAGAATTGGGATGCAGCAAGTGACTTGCTGCCACCTACTGGCAGTTTTTAGTTTTATATTTAAAGGGGTCATATGACGTTGCTAAAAAGAACATTATGTTGTGCATTTGGTGAAATGCAATGTGTTTATGCAGTTTAAGGTTCAAAAAATGCATTATTTTCCACATAATGTACATTATTGATGCTCCTCTATGCCCCGCCTTTCTGAAACGCGTCGATTTTTACAAAGCTCATCGGTCTGAAAAGCGAGGTGTGCTCTGATTGGCCAGCTATCCAGTGCGTTGTGATTGGCTGAATACCTCAAGCGTGTGACGGAAATGTTACGCCCCTTAACATACTGTGATGCCCTGTGTCCAGGCGCGACAAGACGAAAACAATAACACCCATTACAAACGAGGCATTTGTTGCATCCAGTGGGGACATAATTACTGATTATAATGACTTATACAGTCTTTTTACGCGTTGCGT